TGAATGGCTTCCTTAGAAAGAAAAAAAATACTAACTGAAAAACCAAATCGAAAACCATGGTGTCAAGGAAAAAAAAAAAACACAAATTGCCAAACCGACGAATTCTATTGAAGAGACTTGGGTTTATTTTCAAACTTGACATGTGTACCACATTCTGACGGAACAGAAGCTCAATTGTGTTTCTGTAGTGATTTCTTTGTTGTTACACCATGAAAAAGAGCCATTCTTGGACAGAATTGTAACAGGCAATGAAAAATGGATTATTTATGATAATGTTCAATGCAAGTTTGTGAATGTGCAGAAAAGTAGGCTTGCAACCAATGAAGGTATTGCTGTCTGGTGGAATTGCAGAGGGATAATTCACTTTGAGTTTCTTCCAGCTGGTGAAACAATAATTGCAAAGAAGCATTGTAACCAACTCACCAATCTCAATGTGGCTATTTAAGAAAAATGGCCAATTTTGGCAAATCAAAAAGGTGTCATTTTCCACAATGACAACAAAAAACTGCATGTTGAAAAACATACCTTGTAGAAACTTAGAGTTGAAATGGGAAATCCTCCAGCACCCGCTGTGTTCTCCTGATTTAGTTTCTTCAGATTTTTATTTGTTTCAGTCTCTACAGAACAATTTAAATGACAAAAGATTTGGCTCTGTACAGTCAGTTGAAAACTACCTCACAACCTTCTTCCAACAAAAAACACAAAGTTTTTACAAAAATAGTATCAATAAGCTTATAGAATGATGGGAGACAGTTATTAAAAACAATGGTGACTATGTACTTGGACAATAAATATTTTTGTGAGTATGTAATATTTTGTTTTTAATTTTCTAATCAGCTTTTGCAATGAGCTAATAATAACCTTTGTCAAAACATTTCATCAAACACAAAACTTTTGCTTTACATGAAAAAAAAAAAAAAGAAGTGATTTCAGACAGTGCTTTCCTATGTAACATCATTTAATCAATTAAATTCCTATTACACAAACATACCATTCTCTTTGTGTGTTTGTTATTAAAAATGACTTGTTTCCTCTTTTTTCATTAATCTTCATTTTCTTGTTGCTTGAATAATTTTTAATTTACTGTTAATTCATCTTGGAGCTTTTCAAAAAATAAATAAATAACATAAAAATACTGATTTGACCAAAAGGTTGATTCACTTTACTCAGTAAAAATAAGAGAAATTTTAATTTTCAACAATTTTATTGAACAATATATTAACCAAAGGTTTACTATTTATTTCTAATATTTCCTGTTTACTGATAATCATAAAATGACTGTCTGAGTGATGTAATAAATAGTAACAGAAATTAAAATAAAAAGAGATACTCATCAATGATTAACATATTTACTGTTGTGTTAAAATAAAATGTTCTACGTTCTAAACGCTTTATCTTTCTGAGTAAAGAACTGCTCTAGGTAATTTTTACAGTCTTCAAGAGAAATGACATTCATAGTAATCTGAAAGTGCAATATCTGGTGAATATGACATGACTGACAACATCCCAAACAAGTTGGTCAACAAAGAAGCAGGTGATCTAGCATTATTTTAATGGAAAATTCCAACATTTTTCTTAACTAATTCCAGATGCTTTCATCAATTGATGCCTATAATTTAGTTTAATTGAGAGCAGTGCTTACTTGAATCATTTGCTTCTCCAGAAGAAGCTCATAGGACTTAGTTTCAATTCCACACACACCCACACATATATAGGGTGGCATTGGGAAGAATACCAGTCTTTGGGACAGTTAGTGTTGGTTCATTTTGCTCGACCCATAATTTCTTGCATTTCATGTTGTAAAGTTTTCACTTTTTATTGCATGCAATGATTTGTTTTAAAAAAAATATAAAGTTTTCATTAAGTTTAAATAATAAATCCCACAGGGAAATACAGTCCAGTAGAATTTTTTTTCTTATCAAAGTGACTAAGCTGGTGCAAACTATTTCCAATTTTTGATTTGGATATTTTGAGTATATCTCCTGCATCATAATATAATGTTAATTATTAAGTAAATTCTTAATTTGTTTGTCATCAAACTCAACTGGTCTTGATTTTTGATGGTATCTTCTCCATGAGTCATTTTTATTTTAATGAATTTTAAAAAAATATGCCAAAATTGTTGCTTATTTTCCATCTTCAATAAACAAAACTATGCAAATTCTGACAAATTCTTTTAATGCATACCTGATATGACAGTTGTCACATTAAATAAAAAAAATCCTATTAACAATTAATAACAAAAAGCAGAATTAACTTTTTGCTCATCCCAATTGCAGATGTCACTTGAAGGAAAGCTTAATAGGCAAGCCTTAATGTAAATTATATTACAGTTACTGAAATATTTTATCTACCATAAATTCATCAAACAATAAACATTACTTCCTTCCTTTGATCTAAAGTTTTAAAAAGGTGATATAAAAATTATGAAGTTATATTTCTGTTTAAATTCAAATATATGAAGCTACAAATTCAGTAGTAGAATTGAAATAAAATTAATATTGTTTGGTTTAGTGATATAACTTATATTAAAATATCCAGTAGAAAGAAAAGGCCTATTTCTTTCTAGATCACCAGCTTGCTGAAGATGAACGTTTTTATTATGATTGTCAATGGAAGGAGAGCTACTCTCTGTTCAAAACAAGATTTTGTAAATACAAAAACAAATGTTCAATTTGACTAAATCTTTTGAATTTAGTCAAACCAAATCATTATGAATAAGTACAATATTGAGTTCATATTGAATAAGTACAAAGTTTATTTAATACTTGCTGTTATTACAATGTTGAACATATTTTAGATAACAATTACTGAAAGTGCACACACAAGTACTTATAACAGAAGTATTCATATTTAATCAGAAGAAAATTAAAAATATTGATGTAAAATTCTTTATAACCCTTAAATTACTGACATAGAATGAAGATTTATATGAAGAAAAATTAACAATAATTTATACTAGTGTTACAACAATAAAAGATAATCAATTTTTAATTTAAAAATAAATAAATAAAATGGAAAATTCAAACCTTCAGGTAAAATAGTGAAAAACATTAATTCATTTAAATGGTCCAAAATTAATTTTCAACAAATAGTTTTTTCAGCAAATTCTTGTTTAAGCTTGTTTTCTCAAATTCCAGATACTTTTTTGTAAGTTGCATTAAGCATAATAACTTCATGACCCATAAGATGATCCTTATTGTCTGTATATACTTAATCTTATTTCTGTAAAGTTAAACAGTGACCTGAAATTTTTTATATATTTGCTCCTAAACTTTTGGGAATTTTGTCTTAACCTTCATAGACATTGAAAAGATTAAAGTCAGAATAAAATGTACTATTTGCATATTTTAATGAAGATTGTTTCTTGTCTGGGATTTGTGGATGAGATGTTTTTCAAATAAAATGTAAACTTTTATATAATTCTCTTATGTAAAAATTATATACATCATTTAAAGAAAATAAACAAAGAGAAATATTACATTTATTCCAAAATAAAAAAAATGCATTTTTAGCTTACAAAACAAAATAGATTTCAGTTGGAGAAGAAAAAAGTTGAAAAAGAAGATTTTTATCATCACTTTCCTTTGTCAAGGGAGGTGATTTAATTAATGTTAAAACTAAAAGTAAATTGACTTTGAACATTGGAAGCAAGGTGAATCAGGACATTCAGGCAACAGGGTGACTTGGGTCAGTGATAAATAAATGAATGATGCATCCTGAGTCTAACATGTGCGTACCGATTGCTAAGCAAACACTAACTTATTCAACAACAGGTTTCTTTCAAGAGATGCTTAAACAGAGAGTAATAATAATTCTGAATGAACAATAATTACAAGTTACAACATATTTCCTCCTCTAATTATGCTTCGTGCAATCAATCAATAACCAATATTTCACTCGCTAATATACACTTTTTATTTTAAAGTATCGATTGCTTAACATTAACAATTTTACAATACATGTAAAAAAAAAAAAAAAAAATACTAGAATTTTAAAAGTAAAAAAACTCAAATTTTAGAAAACGATCAGCATTAATCAGATTTTCTTTTCTTTTAGTAAAAGAATTTCCAAATAAATATATGTATTCTTTAGTAAAATTAATCGAAAATATGAAATTGCGGTAATGGCTCAGTGAAAAAAAAAACAAAAATCAAATATTGTTTGTAGCGATGTTTGTATTATTTTCTTTGCAATCAATTGCAAAATATAAACCAAAAAATAAATACTCATGTCATGATCAGCTTTAAAATAATAAAACAAAACAAATTTTAACCTTATTTTCAAATTTTGGAATTAGTTGAAATTCTAAAAAAAAAAAAAAAACATATGATTTTTAATTTTACAGCACTTACTTCGACACATTCAAACTAATAATAAAATTATCATTTTTTTAAATTAAAAAAATGTTTTTTGTATCATTTTCGTTTCCGTCAGTACAATAAAAATGATTTAATGAAGTGAAGTTTAAACTTGAATAGAAAAAAAAGTCAATCATATTTCAATAAATTGATGAATTATATTAATTTAAAATTAAATTAATTAATCTACCTAACTACTTCTTTAGTCGTCTGTAATTAAATGAATATGTATTTTATGTAATTTTAAAAAAATAAATGTCTTTAAAAAATTAAATTTAATTTAAAATGAAAAAAAAATGGCATAGACTTCCCAAAGTCAAATAGCATTAAAAAAAATGAGGAAAGATTGAAAGGGTGCAAAAATATTATGTCGGGACGATAAAAGACCTGGATAAAAAAAAAAAATAAGATCAATGAACATAAAACCTGAGAGAAAAAAAAATACAGAAACAAGTCTTTATAAACTTTATTTAAATATGATGGTCATTGTTTTTGAAAACATCAAAAACAAGAAAGCAAATAAATAACAAAGAAACCTAGTGTGAAAAAAAAGTTTGTTGATATGCATTTAATGAGAAAGAGGAAGTGAAGAAGATAATTTTCTAAACAATCGTTTATAAATAAAAGGTTAAAACAAACCAGGTGAAATAGGGAAACAGTTCTGGAATCGGATCCTTCCGTAAAACTCAGGCATATTTTGCACTGTCCAAAATCCCAGCTATCATCGGAGATGGAAGCATCTTTACAAATTAGGGAAGATTCGTCTTCGTCGTCGTCTTCGGGTCGTGGGGCTGGGGTCAAACAACCATGTACACCCAACTGACCTATTCGTCGGTGCCAGGCCTCCAAATCTGAATTTGGATCTTGTTCTGGGCAGTATTTAACCAACACGAAAACATTAATGGACTGACCAATGTAGACGGACTGCAGCTGGCTGGCCTTGTCGTCGTGAGGGCAATATGATTGGTTTTTGTCACACACGACCAGCTCCAGCGAAGATGCAACGTCCACGCTGTCGTCCATGTTTGCCTGTCAAACAACAAGGGGCATAACTCACATTGACTTAAGATTGTTATAAATAAAATTACACAGATACCACACAAAAAAAAACAAACCCACAGATACCACGCACAGAAATAAAAGGACGTCTGAAATGGGGAATTGCAGTTTCGAGATGCTTTATTAACTATTTTTTTCATAATCAGAACACAGACTGACTGAAAAACAAAGACGCTTTGCCAAAACCAAGCTTCACACCAGTAGTCTGGAGCCCTTTCTTAAGTGGTTATAAAAAGACATCCCAGAGGTAGAGACAAAGAGAAGAGACAGACAAAAAGACCAGTCAAAGAGACTGCCCAAAAATGTCTCATGTGAAAAAGTTAATCAGTTATGAGTTTATGACATGTTTCCACCCTTCTGAGGGCTGAGAATATACCACAGATTGACGCCACACAAGTTTCCAAAGTAACCACATTTTCAACAGCTGCCATCAAGATGATGACGATATTCAGTCACCCCCACACAAGGGTGTCATGTGACACAAGGCCTTTTTAACGTGGGCATTCCGAGCCCGTGAGCTCGGCCAAAAATATGCCCATTGAACCCGTATATACGGGTTCAGAGCCGGTTTTACCTCTCCGAAGGAGACTCCGCCCTTCGGCGTAGCCTCCTTCGGGTTCCTCCCGTCCGTAGGAAGAGAGTACAACCGAACAGTCGGTTCAGACTTGATGATGACTGCTACCAAGTTCTGACTTATAAACTATCAGCTACCTAGCTGAAAGAACTTTCACTGACCTAGATTACAAAGGAATCGCTCCAACCAAAATCAAATAAATAAACATATGTTATTTGTTTACAGTACACCTTTGATTCTGTTTGCTTATTCCAAAGTTTTCAATAATTAATACTAAGAAACTCTGGCACTTACCATATAGAAACAATGTTTAAATTCACTTCTTTCTGCCAAATTTAGTGCTTTTAGAGGTTCCCAGGGACTAAAGTTTTGAAATTGATTTAGGTTCTTTTATTTCATTGGTGTAAAAGGGCCTTTAAATCATTTTTTTTTTGCTCACTTGAAATTACTAGTTTTTTAAGTTCAAATTTGAATGTTATCATATTTCTTTCTGTCCCAATTCAAGTTGAGTATATTTCTGTCATTCAATATCTTTCAGTCTAACCTCAAAGTAGTAGTAGATTGCATTGGCAGGTGCACTGGTGTTCAATGTGTAATCAGTCTTACATTGTGCCAATAAATGGCTTCTTGTATTGAGCACCACTTTTTTACAACAATCCTCTTAATGCTCCTATGACACCTATTATAAAATAAAATAAGACATATCTCGGCTGATTCGCAGGCAAATAAACTAACATACTCAAGAGCGAGAGCCGTATGGGAACAGGACAAGGCCCCGTCACAAAAAGTGTTTTTATTTTTCAACCAATAAAAATGCTTCCCTCCTAATTATACTCACATCGTTTTTCAAGCCTGTTAAGCCATAAAAAGGCCATAAAAGGGGTCACACAGGGAAGTACAACAGCAATCAACAGGAGGCCAGGGAAGAGATCTGTCACGGGCAGTCAGCAGCAGTAGCACCACGCCAACTAGCAAGAAATACTATGAGAGATCAACCCAGGTCGGCAGCCGGCTTATGAACTATAGCACAAGGTAGCTGTCCCAAAACCACACATTGAAATAAATCATGTAAATCTATTTCTGCTGTTGTCTTATTTCCTTCTTGTAACCATATAATCTTGTATATAATCCCATTTCCTGATGAAATATGCATCTACTGAAATTGTAGCTGGATGTCCCATTGCTTCACAAAGAACCTGAATGTTATGCTGCCAAACACAGTGTCATTGTCTGTAAGGAGATCATGCAATAGGCCTTTTTTACAGAATATAGGCTTCAGTTGCCATAGACAATTGTAGTCTCTTGCTACCTCAAAAGCTACCAAACCAAGAAATGTGTTGTTTGATCAGGGACAAGTAACAACTAGTTATGAAAGCTGAAGCAATGATAGTAGGTGTAAACAAAATGAAATGAATGCAGTAGCTCAAATCACATGGCAATAATTGTAGTTCAAGTTAATGAATGGCCATGCATTACACTTGTCAACTCAGGTTGTTCCCAATCAATAGCAAGCAAAGACATTTGCTAGTATTGAACAAAGGTAATCTGTATATGTGATAAATATTGAGTGACCAGAATTTGCTGTGGATTCATGGTTGTAAATGACTGTGCAATGACAGTCCCATCAATGTGAACATTTTGTTGGTTTGAAAGAGACTACAATGTTTTCACTTGCTGATTTGGATAAGCAAAATCAAGGAGCTAAACAGAGTTGAGATCATGCCTTCATGTGTAGTAGAGTTCCTTGCAGCAAACCACCCCTGTGTGCAGCTATTATCATAGATAACAAGATTTTAGCACTAAGTTTAACAGCAAAAAGTATGAACTGTAGCATGGAAATGAGTAAAAAACAGGTTATGTTACAGAATAAGATAGCAGAATACCCTGTGCCTAGGCTGGTGTGATAGGAATATGAACATGGACTTCATGTTTTGTTGGATAATGGTTGACTGTTACACTCATCAGGAGTCAATTATCCAGTTGGCTTGTTTATCTTCTACATTAAATATGATTAATGCAGGGTTTGACACATCTATTTTTTTTTTACTCCTCTTGTACAACTTAGATGCAAGCAAGTCATAAAGTTTTTTTCCCTCACTTTTAAATTATTTAAAATCATTCCATTGAAGTTTACTATAAATTCTTGTACTGAGATTTTAAAATCATTTTCTACCAAAATCTTTAAATTTTCACCATGGTTTTGACTAATTTCCTGGATTTCAAAACTGAAATCTCCACTTGCAGATTTTTTTAAATCAAGATTTTACTGTTTGTTCACTCACAACATTGTCGCCAAATATGGAAATAACAATCCTTACAACCCCAGCTCCAGTGAATCCTGACAAATATTTAACAGAATAATTATGAGTTGAAAATTTTTTACATTTACTAAAGAAAGCATTAAAAATTAATTAAATTAAATTTTTACTGAATAATCAACATTTAATATATTAATGAAAAATAAAATATAAACTAAAAATATCAAAATCAGAGTCAAATTCTGATATAACCCAATTGGTTGTTTAGTATGTTGAGCCTTTCATAGCATTTTTGAGATTCATGGGAATTATTTGGTAGTGCTCATCTTCTCTCCTCTTTAAGTAACATGCAACAAGTTGTACTTGGTTACATAGTCCCAGCAATAGGAAGTAACCTCTAACCTAATCTATAGTGTAGGTTGATTAAAGAGACATTTGATGCAATATGAATTAAAAATTAAATCAAATCAAAATAACTGATGTTTGTTTTACAATCATTTAATATGACCATGTGGGTGTTAGTAGTATTTGTAAGCTGGGTGATAATTAGATAATAGTGATAATTTAAATAAAAATTTAAAGTTTAATCTTCATGCCAGCAAAAAATCAAAAAGAATAGTTTTTCTGTTGACACTACTGTTATTATATACTATACTATCTCAGCTCCCTTGCTAATGATTATTTACAAGATTATAAAAATATGTCAAACAAATACAATGTTTACCATTTTATAAAGATTTATTATCAACACCCACCAGGTTTTCAGGATAAAGAAACAAATAAGGTGAACCATTTGTTTTATCCTGAAAACTTGGTGGGTGTTGATAGTAGTCAGGTCTGGAAAAGGAAACAAAAATTCAGACTCATAGCAATAAAAATGTTACATCTTGGGAACACCTGCAAAGAAGAGGTCTCAATAGCACAATCTATTTTGGAAGATAGTAATGTTCAATTCCCTGTATTTTCAGTTACCCAGCCAAGTTTTGGCTGACACATTCTATCCCAATAAATGTTTGACCTTTGGAGTTACCCAAAAGTACACACCTAGCAATGTAAGCTTATAGTGTCAGTTTCAAGTCATTCTGATATCTGCTCTAATCTTCATTTTATGGTTACAATTGCCTTAATTAGCATTTTTCTTAATCTGTTAGATTAACCTTTTCACTGGAAGTTACAGTTTGCAATTTTCATGCCCCAATAAAAATATTCCAATAAAAACTCAAACATAGTTGTTACCTTGTTACAGAAGATCATAAAGCACCTATTTAATTTTCATCATTTGGAAGAGTAATGAAAAGCAATGTTAAAAGGTTTATGATTTATAACCTTTGAAAATGACTTTATCAACAAAAAACAGAGAAATTTGAATATTAACCAATGAAGTAATAGCCATGACAGTCAGTTATGTGCCATAGAGGATACACACTTAGGCGATTATGTATTTTTCAATACATGACTGACAGGGCAGATTTTTTCCCGCAGTAGGTTGCTATTTCTTTCTATGGTAGATCAGTTGCTATCCAAGGCTATAGAACCTGATCTCTCCTGCTATTTACCCATAGCTGTGGGGAGGAGAAGAAGAAGATTAATACTTTTCTCAATGGTATTAGCATGTAAGTGAATGTAATGGATTCAACTGGAATTCAAACTCCACTCTCTGATTCCTCAATCCAAGCCACTATCCATTATTCCACCATGCCTCAATAGGCATAACACTTAACCAAAATAAGGGACTATAAGCATCAGTTGATAATATTATTTTCAGTATTCAAAAATACAAGATAAAATTTGAAGAACCAAGATTTGTTTTTGAAATAAACATATTCTGACCACTGCATTTTGAAAAAAGAGATTTAGTTAATTAACTACAATATAAATACATGGGTAGAAAGAAACTTGTTTCAAATTATTTCATGCTAACAAATGTATTGAGTATTCTCAAATAAACCTTCTTATTTGCATTGGAAGTTTTCGGGTGTTTATAATTTTAATTTTATGTATCATACAATATTTTAAAGTGGAAACCTTGACAGTTCTTTAAAAGTTGTAATTCTAAGATCATTTTTACTTATTCCAGATGGAATAGAGACAGAAAGTGAATTTAAACAGTGTTGCACAAGTTCAATATTTGA